CTAAAAAGTAAAAAATAAATTAAAAGTAAAAAAAAAAAAACTTTTTTTAAAAAGAAGCTTTTATTTAAATGCTCTGAAAAGAATAAAATAGGCTTTTCTTTTAAAACTTTTCTTGCTATCAACTTATAAAGTCGTTACACAATTTATGATATAAAAGCTTGTCACGAGATTTACCTGTGTAGATAAAGAAGCAAATTAAATAACTTGATCTGATTGATTTTAATTTTTAAAACTTTCAAACTAAGTAAATACGAGTACTAATTAAATCTCGCGACAAGCTTTTATATCGTAAATTGTGTAACGACTTTATAAGTTGATAGCACAAAAAGTTTTAAAAGAAAAGTTTATTTTATTCTTTTCAGATCATTTAAATAAAAGCTTGGTTTTAAATTTTTTTTTTACTTTTAATTTATTTTCAGTTGTTTCAGGTAAGTAGCAACTATGTACCTTTAATAGGAATATGGACTTAATTTAAGCATGTTTTTAGTACAATCAAAGGAGAATTTTAGTTTATAAATTATAAGAATCTCCTGTTGTTACTAATGCCTATTGATCAATAGTGTCAGATCGATGCCCATGAAATTCATCGTGGTAGGGGTCTAGTTTTACGCCTGTCATTAGCACAATGCAAATGACAGTACGCGATTTAGCTCGATCCCACCCCAATTTTGAGAGAGAACACCCTGAGGAGTGGTCAAGGGCCTCCCACCACTCTTCCTTTTCCACCAACTTTATGAGGGACCAGACGAATGTTTAGAGTGCCTCCATGCCGCACAGGCACTATACATTTAAAAATATGGATACATTCTCCAGGATTAGAATCCAGTCCCTACGGCACAGCAGGCAGCATCACTAACCACTATATCGATTGAAAATCCTCCTTCCGAAAGAAATATGTGATCGTGTCAATGAAACCAAACAATATTTTTACAGTTATGTTATCGACTAATGTGGGAAATAATGACTGACTAAGGAACCAATGTCATGCACTTCATCGTTGTATTACACGTGCTCACATAGACACATTATGTGCACCGCATTTATTGACTCCTCTACCACCAAAGAAATGATATCACTGCAAAACCTATGTATTGCAAAACATTCAGTGTCTACCCGTATTATTTGACGTCATTTCCAGCAAATAATGACCTCGGGGCTTCCATTTCTTTACCTTTACCTTCCATTACAAAACCACAGGCGATTCCGTCTACAATGATACATTGAATGGTCAACTTGGACAAACGAATGGCACGATCTTGCCTTTGCAGATGACTTTGCTTTTATCTATAGTACCACAATGGTTAGATTAGAGTCCAGAAACACTGGGGTGAGAGGTTGCTTAACTGTCACTTTATGCAAAGTCATACTGCTCCTTCACCCGGTTTCTATATTGATGTGCTATTGAATTCTACTTCCACACCACTTCTTGTCTAATGAGAAGAGAGTGTTCTATCTCTGAGGTTTATATACGGGTCTATTATTAGGGTCCCTTAGCTTCACAACCGGTTGTATGTGATCACATTCCGAAGAACAATGTGGGACTACACGTGGCAAGCAAATTTTAAGGTTTTTCAGCTTAAGGATTTCATCCTTGCCTCAGGCTGCCTGTTCTCCAAATCTCTCGTCTATCAAACACATCTGATAGATCATTCTAAATGGGTTGGGCTGTTATACATCATGCTACATCAGTTGAAAACGCTGTGGATCCGGATGGATTGTCACACTTCAACAAAACATTCAAAACTTTTTTTCATTATATTCCGACAAGTTTAGCAGCGGTTATGGACAATATTCAATACTGATTTTCTCATCTTCTTTATCTCGTAGAAGGTTGTATTTTTGCACATTTCACCTTTGTGTGTGTGATCAGTCTAATAAATTTAATATATCTTTTTCTTTTATGTGTTGCATATCTGTTGGACTTAAGCATACTTATAACTTCTACTACAGAATTTGAATATTCATATTAAACCTCAGTGTATTTAGCACTATCTTTGAAATAAACTAACTTCTGAAAAACAGGGCATTTTTTTAAATTAATATATTGGGCACCAATTTGAAACCCCGAAATATTATAATACATACTCAAATTTTGATGTTAACTAACAGGTAGAGATGTTTTTATCCCCGGTTATAATTTGTTTATATCTGTCGTGTGTAGACCAGATTATTCAATTCTTTTATATGAGTTCTTAAAAAAATTCATTAAATATTAATTTAAAACAAAGCAATACAATCACATTATGGACCATTAGTCAGAAATTGGGTATGTTTGCAGCACGCCCGGTATCCGATCGTAAGTTGCGACAACGTTTGCAGCAGCAGTATTCAGACGGCCTTATTAATGTCTGGAAGCTCTGATGATACCGCTCGTCTCCTGCTCGCATTCGAATATTGGCTTAGAGGCCCTACATATGATGTGATGTTTTGAGAAGCTATTGGCAACAGGCACATCTCTAGTTCGATTCGACGGTAATTATAACGCACATCAATGCCTTTCTGACATGTTATGTCCAATGGTTGTGTCTTATCGTCGAGGCTTACCAAACACCCTCTACCAAAAGGATAATGCAAGACCGCATATTGCGCGTCGTGTTCTGACCTTTCTTAAGGTATCCTATTATGTTCGGAAACGTGATTTTAAAAAAGCGCATAAATGGATAACTTTCATGATATTTAGTGTCACTCAGATTAGAAAAAAATGTATAAAATTGTTTTAAGGGCATTATGACAAAAAAAATTATTTAAATACAATATTTTGGCAAAGAATGATCTTAGAATAACCTTTTTTCAAAATGTTCTCTTTTTATAAAAAAAATTTTCAACAATAATAATGTTTTGCTTAGATAAAATAAAGACTTCTCCATAGAGTCTCAACTAGGATTTTTGAAAAATTCACATTATTTTAAGAGTTATCGCCAAATGAAATAATTATCGGCGTTTTTTTCTTAAAATTTCTCCCCTCTGTTGTAGTAAAATATGGATAAATCCACTTCTAAGTTATATGTTTTAAGAATTCTAGTTGAGCCTCTGTACAGAAGTCTGAGCTATATACAGGCAAAATATTATTATAATAGAAGAAT